TTAAGCGATCGACAAATCTAAGGGGTTAATTTCACCAGAAAAATAACAAAATAGAATCAGTATTTGGAAGTTATGACCGAGCGGAGTTGCTTTATGAAGAAAAAAACTGGCGTTGGATTTGGGTAACGTAATTACTAATCATGCATTTTCTTTCTGGCAGGTTCTCAGACCTAATGAATATGAGGTATAAAAATAAGCGGATTTGCTCACAAGGTAAGTTAGCAATAATGTTGCTCTTATATATTTTTTTGGCTTATTTAAAATTTACTCTCAAGGTCTGGTTAACATACATTGTTTGTTATATGTTTTTTTTTCGAAAGCGAATTTCTACTTACTATTTATTTTTATGTTAGAAAGTGAAAATGGAGGATATTACTTTAAATTATCGTGTCAGCAGTGATTATTCAATTAATATTCCCCCAAATACGACAGTCGCCAACCTTAAAAATATGATTAGAAATAACGTTCCTTTTACCGATTTTGATCTCTACATAAATGATACCGCTCGAGATGTAAGAAAATATATGGATCCGCAAAATATGGTTTCACAATATTTTGATATTAATGATTTAGGAAATCGCATCCATATCCTTGTTCATCAAAGATAATTTTTTTTTTATTTATATGTATTCGCACTTATAATAGCGATATATATTTTTTATTTGTATATTATGTTGTCATCCCGGCAATATAATTTTTTATAATAATAAAGGGAGGGGGTCTGCTGGGCTCCCATTTTTGATTTTTACGCGATTTTTTACAATGCAACCCTTTTTTCTCATAAATTCGAAAAAAGAAAAAAAGTGATCAATGTAGAGAACATATATTGAAAACAGACTCCACAACTTCAAGTGATAAAATCACGAGAAGGCGGGGTGGAGACTATTGAGTTAACTTTATTAATCTGCTGTTATGGGATTTAAGTATCGCGTGTTAATATGCACTAATTATATAATCAGAATTTTTATAAGTTTTTTTCCTGCTACTTAAATCGTAATAATAACCTCTATCCGATTCATCTGGCATCTCTTCTTCAGAATCATTGTTGTGACTGCACTCATTATCATCTTTCGTTTCTTCCACTCGATGGAGTGCGGAATCATGATCAACTTCCTCATCAAAATATACATCATTGGCAGGCTTAATTTGCGCTTTACCCTCTAACTTCGCTAACCTTGTCATTTCTTCACGCGTGAGTCTTTCATGAAGTTCGTGATCATACTCATCATCGGAGTCTTCCTCTTCAGAACCACTAGGAACGTTTTCAGGTCCTTCCGGGGCCTCATCGTCTGACCTAACTTCCTTCGCCAAATCGGCTGATAAGGATGAATTTTCTTCAAGTATGGGTAAGCTTTTTTCGCTAGTCTTAGAATTTTCAGTCACATGATTTTGTTCCTGACCATTGGTCAGGATGACACGTGTCTTTTCTGCGACTCGATTAATGATGTTTAGTATTTGAGCATTACTTAATTCAGATATACCTCTTACTCCATACGAAATTCCATAAACTTTATCGATACCGATTCCTATAACTTCTTTTTTGGTTGCAGGATCGATAATCTTCCCGAATAGCTTATAAACACTTCCAGCTCTTTCGGTCTTCTTATACAGATTTGATTCTGAAACATTGGGTAGAGAAGCCTTGATCATGGCGTAGACTTGAGACTTTGCGGTTTTTTCGGCTACACCAGTTTTAGAGCAAATTTCAACAGGAGAAACCGTCCAAATATAGATATGATTTTCATTCTCCGTTACACAGATCACTATTGTATCGACCAGTCAA